ACCAGGGTGCACCACGAGGAGGTAAGTCTATCTCACACCCCCTTGATATGAAAGTAAATTGGAGCTTCATAAATGATCAACTGAGCTTTGTAAGGCCACAATTTCTCATTTGCATTTCAACATTAAACTCATTATAGGCCTATAGACTTATGTGCTATAGTGGTTTGGTATAAAGAGTGATGACAAAATTATGTTTTTTTGTAGGCTTTATTTGTTAGCGTGGCCGACGAACATAATCCAACTGACAAATAATCTGATAAATTTTTTTCTGTACGAACCATGTGGGAAGTTTATTTATTTATTTCAAATGGCAGGCATTTTGATAGATATCATTAGCCATTTAGGTGACTTCGTGCTTCACAGAGGGAAGGTTCATCAAAGTAGCAGAAAGTCGAGGGTTGGGGAACAGAAGAGCGATTCACAGATGTAAAGGAGGCAGACAGACACAAAGGTAGAGAAAAAGGTAAGGTGAGTACTGTGAAAGGGGTCGAATATGACAACCAGGGGGGTCGTGGTAGTTTGAAGTCAGAAGTCAACTGCCAGTTAATAGACTTTTTTTGTCGTATGAGAATACGTTGTCCAGGGTGCACCACGTGGAGGTAAGTCTATCGCACACCCCACTATGTAGGAAGTAAAGATGGAACAACGCATTGCCAAAAACAGATTGATTAGGCCACTTTACTTCTTGAACCTCCGCCCCCAATATTTTGCTGATCCCTCTTACGTAGAATGCTTTTTGATTTGGCTGCAAACTGGTTAGAATGTCTAATTTATGGTGCAAGCATGTCCAACTAAATATTTGCTGGTTTCTTAATAATAATAATCGATTTTATAAAATTAATACATTTTTTCACCGCATTATTACCTTTTGAAAATCAGAATATCGTCAATTAGGTAATATTGCTCACATTGCTATCAACAGGATTTGAAGGTCATTCTCCGTTTTTCACCATAAAACAAAACCGAGCTTTCTGTTGGGGTGCACAGTAGACTTACATCAACGTGTTGCAACCTGGGCAATGTATACTCATACGACAAATAAGTCTATTAACCGGCTTCAAACTATCATCACCCCACTGTATGATACATTCCACCTCTCGACTTTTTCCCACTTTGTCTGTTCCTCTCCTCTGTGAAGCCCGAAGCCAGCTAAATGGTTAAGGATAACTTATCAAAACGCCAGCCATTTGATAGTAATTAATTAATTACAAAGCGAGCTTTCTGTGGGGCACGTCGTCGCCTATCACGTGGTTGCATGCACGCACAATGAATGACCAAGCAGAGGCCTTCGTTTGTATAAGCGAATCCGCCATGTTGATTTTGACTGACATTACGGCTTGTACACTCTTATCACAATATGCGTTCTAGATAAACGCGTTCCGTGCGATAAATCAGCTTTCTCTATTGATGGGCTGTAGCTTAGCTAGTTCTGGGAGTCTACCTAGATATAGGCAAATCTGCCACAGAGATTTCTGCGTCAGTTAAGGCTTTACTAGTGTAGCAATCCGCTACATTTCCACAACGTTGAGTTATAATGTCGGTGTAACATTAAATGCTTTAAGGGAAGACGAAATACTCAAGTTAGACATGTTTAAACTAATTTTGTACGCAAATTGCTCGGTTATTAAGCCTCTATGGCACACAAAACTACAGCCTAGCAGGCCTTTAAGAAATGAATTTATGGCAACCGCCAAATTTTCATCAATGCAATCTTTAATATAGAAATATGAAAGAAAGGATTATTTCATTCATTATTAGAGATGCAAATCACGGTTGAAATTTGTTTACTTGTTAGTGAAAATAAAGCACCTTGATAATGAGAAAATATTTGACAGGCCTATTTATATGATGATAATTGATCGAGTTAGTAGATCCTTCCGTAACATTCAAAGTATTTGTAATGAATCTGTATTCGCAGGAAGATTGCCAAATTCAAAGCTATGCCCGATCAGTTTATGCGTGTAAGAGGTAAGGTGAATGATGGCATCCCAATTCTGATAAGCAACTCTTCTTACTACTGAGTTTCCATAATCAATGATTTGATATCTGAATGGAGACCAACACTTTTTTCGTGCTATGAGAGAGGGAAAACAGAGGGAGACAAACGAATAGCGATAGAAGGACAGAAATTTCGTAGTGTAAATTATGTCGATAAGTCGAATTATTGTGGAAGTGCCAAATTTATTCGACGTAGATTCGCAGTTCCTTGAGTCTTCTACAAGCCCACCATCTTCCTTACTCATACTCGGGCACATATCGCTTTTGCCAGTCGTGGGTGGATGGGTGGATGCATAAGATTGAATCTTTTACAAATATGGTGACGTTTAGCTCTCCTTATACCAAATTGAGACGACGATTTATTTTTCCAAGAAAAAATCGTTTTTGTTAACAGAGGTTCCGATCTCTCTCTCTCTCTGTTAGAGTCAGAATAGCAGAAATTTTTCAACAAAACCGCAATCCTTTGCTGCGCAAAACTACCCTCCAAGAAAAAATAACCGACCAAGTTTTTAATTAATAAATTTATTTGTGTCGAAGCATCATGCCGAACGCACATGATGCCTTATATACATGCTCCGTCCGTACATAAAATAATTCTATTAATTGGTTATCAGGAAATCAAGAGACAAAGTAGTTGACCATCTTCACTGTGTTTTGATTTAAACTGCTCATTATCACTCATCCTTCACTTTATCATTAAAGTCAAATCTACCTTCACAAGCATATACCCCATCACCCATTCATTACTTTTATTTAATATACCTTCTCTTCTTCACTAAACTTGGGGTCTTTAGATGGAGGAAAGGTTGGCGTTTCCTCCTGGCACTCTGGCAAATCTCTAAGTCTACCTTGGTCACGTTTTAAATGGTGAATACATTAGTACTTCATACGACCAAAATCACCGGCTTTTTAACGAATATTAATTGCACTAATTGATATTCTAATGGACGCCAAGTACAGAAGACGAGTGTTGGCTATTGGACCACAAATTCGAATTGCGAGTTCTGAGTAACATGTTGAAACTCAATAAAAAATCTTGCAACCTTGTGTAAAATATTAAATTAAGGGTGAAACGTGGACTAATATGATTCACTTCAAGTGTTTTAAATGTGGTTTAATGATCTAATGGCTCCAGTGTCTAAAGAAGTGCAGTTTACGTGAAAAGAAAACAATGATTGAATTTCATAGATGCATTTCTAAAAACAGCGTGTTTCTGGACTTCATTTCAAACTCACTTTATGTAAACAGAATAGCTGGACAAAAAGCTGACTGTAACTTTCTAAATAAAATTTAATTTAATTTACATACTCAGTTCCTTTAATGATGCATGCCTTTTATTCCCTTACTAATTAAAATTAGTTATACTATTTGTTGTAGCATACTGCTTGCTTCATCTCTATCCTCGACAGAATTCACCGAGTTTAATTTTCTGTTGCGATTTTAATTTCCTCTCCACTATTATTCATTAAGTGAGTTGACCTTGTGCAGATTTCTATGTGTAAGCTGATAGTCCCTTCATGTATGCACGGACAACTAAACCGCCCCGTTAGCTCAGAGCGACCGTTAATCACTATTTCGTCTGTAGTTCCCTAATATTCATCCTTTTATGGTAAAGGTTGAGTCATGCTTACTTCGAATTTAAAGGCTTTTGAGAAAAATATCGACACTTCTATTAGGCATCTTACCTTTAGGACTTATAGCACTAAACTTGATTACTTATAGAGCCATCTCTATCTATTCGGTTCCAATAGTGAACAGGATCAAAAAAAATTGTTACATATAGTCAGCTAGTCATCCTAATGCAGACAATAACGCTTCACGCTCTAAATAAGTTCAGATGAAACACCGATAACCCAAAACGAATATCTCTAGGAGAATTACTTACCTCGAGACAAAACGTAGCCTCAGCAGTTCTGACCCATTTCTCGGCTCTCACATTTTCCAGTCAATACTTCTAGAAATCGCATTGCCTACTTTCCGACAGTTACACTTCATCTCAGTGAAATGTGGTAAATGCTATCATCACCAAGAAAACAAAACTCATTTGGATATATTTAGAAGTCGGTGTGTAGATTGGGGTTTTTTTAATTTTATTTAAATGAAAGTGCAAATGGGGAAAATAGTTAGTGAATTGTGACCTCCAACTCATCTATCGTTGGAGTCTATTTGACATAGCAAGAACCCATTCGAGTTTTGGCAAATAGATGGCATTGAATAAGAAGCCTCGTTTTGTCCAGGGTCACAGCCAATGGAGGCAAATTTGCTTCATTTTTATAAACCTGCTGTAACTTGAGGAAAGCTGCCGTATAGAGGCCAAAGTCAAACTCCACCGATGAACCAAAAATAACTGTATTAAAGACCTTGAAAAAGTTCTTATGCATTGAAAATTGAAAGCTAGCCTTGTAATCAGGATCGCGGCTATGCTGTAAATTGAAAATGATAAAATGAAATAATAAAATAAAATTATATCAAAAGACAAATTATCATCGTATAAGCCTATGACTCAATGAGCCTGTCCTAATAATACTGCTTGGAAATGCCTGTTTATTCATTGCCAAATGGACACGTATAATAGTTTATTGCGTGGATATTTCAATGGCTAGATGTTTGATAAATGACATTCGACATCGTAGAACTTGCTCAATGGAGGCATTTTGTCTGCTCAAGTTTCTGTTAGTAAAATTTGCATACTAATGACGGCATATTTTAGTCTCCTTTAGCATTCTATCAACCTGCTAGACCTATCGATTATGATTTTGTACAAATCTGCCCTCATTTACCATTCAAATGCTTGCCTGACAGCTACCTTGGCGTGGTAATAGTATGTGCGACTCTTAAATTCCAGCCTATCAAATAAACTGTGTCCGAATTCTAGAACAACATTTTTCCATCTTTTTACTTCACCATTTGCAGAAATGCGAGTTAATAGCTCAAACAAAACACACTTTTCTCTAGTGGAAGTATTTTCCGTTACTTGCTATCAGCAGTTCTCGAAAAACCGCCCACTAATCTAAAATGCATAGGTGACATTTTCCCAGATCCATTAAATGAACCAATTTTTCACGCATAATGAAGATACTCCAAATGCACCTTCCATTCGTTGAGTAGAAGCCGATTTCATTGAACATTCTCGACGTTTCAGGAAGGGAAAGGCCCGCTAAACACGTGGTGACAAGATTAGGGTTTTAAAGTTAAGTGATTTCCTGATTTTTTCTAAGAGATTTGAGAATTAAATTGTAATTTGCGCACATCCAGTCATATTGTCTGAGATAATATTGATAAGATCCTAAATACAACATACCGGTTTAAGTCGTCCATAGTAATTGAAAATACGGTCCTTCTCTTTAACACAAAATGTGATCCAGTTGTGCATTCCTAACACTATATCATTCTTCGATTCTCCAACGAAAACGTGCTCGAAGGGTGAGGAATCGTCTTGTCTAGAAATATTATAAAATTATAATTATATCGAATGAAATTAAAGTTCTTTATAGCCTCTGCTTAATCAAACCAGTTTAGCTGAAATCCTAGACAATACATTTCTCATTATGGGAGCATTCAGGATAAAGCAGCGGTCCTTAATTAAAATGAGAATTAAAAGTATTGAAAAGTAGAAGTGAAAACACCCGGACAAATTATTTTAAAGCAAGTCATCTTACCTATTTCTCCTATACGGCTTGAACCATATAGCATGCAGTTCATTCTTAAAAGCGGCTTGTGAGGCACTAGCCAGATTTTGTGCCACAAGATAGCCATGAAAAGCTTTCATTGTTTCCGTCTTCACAACCGCGTCTAAAAACTGATCGATCTCCTTCCTTTTTTGCGGTGTCTCCCTCTCAGAAGTGCCAACACGATGTTCATAGTTGTCCAGTAGGGCGACAAATGCTAAATTTTTGTAGAAGTATTTGCGGATTAAGGCTCGAAATCAGTAATAATTCGATCCAATATGAAGAAAAAGTCATAAATATAGAAATATTGAAAGCTAAAAAATCGATTATTTCACGTGCTCAGAGGCTAATAATAGAATTTGCGGTAACTTTATTTGAAGACAAATCTGAGTAAAGAAATATTTCCTGTAAAAATATGATTAAAAAGTGCCTTTATAATCACCCTTTTTTCACTAAAGACATGCTGTAAAACCTTTAACTGTGGTGTTAAAGCTGTATCCAAACAAGTGCCGTAAGCAACAATCTGCGAAACTGTAAATGAAATAAAATCTATTTAAATTGCTAGCCCACTATTATTTGTCTTTCCCAGTACATTTCTGACTGAAACATGCAAATACACACACCACTAAAGGTATCCTTATTAGTGCCGTCTCCAGTCACGAAAATCCTCTTTATTGTATCCGTAACAACACGTAAAAGCCTTCGCGAGTTGTTTAAGCACCTAAATAGGAAATTGCGGTAGTTTTGAAACATAGAAAATTCCAGTCATATGCCTAGGTTTAGTTTCCTTGCGTAAGTATCTGACAAAGTGAACAAGGAACGTGACTAATATCTAACGAGTGCTCGAGCTGAGAGCTTTCACAAGTGCTGTCATAAGCAAAAACTTTCAACAGTGAAATAGCTCTTTTCCATGACTTGTGCAGGAAAGTAAACAGCATACGAAGCCTACATATATTGCGAAAATGGTAAAATTGGTAAATATATTCATTTGCTATTTTCATTTAGGCCGAGTGAGGAAATCAAAATTACACGAAATGATTACTGCGTGAGAGCCTTATGACATGGTGAATAATCTTCGAAGCCAATAACAAGGAACTGTGCGAGGTTAATTTGTCAACGAAGCTCCACCTTAACGCACATTCTTCAGGAAACCCACATGGGCAGTATTTGGTGGTTTGTGCATTACATTGTAGCAATATGCTTAATAAATGAACAATATATTTGATTTGGAAGGCACTAATCGATAGCAGATAGTATGCAATCACATCTCTCCTAAGCTAACACATTTGCTATTATGGAGATAACCTAGGAACATAAACTAACCTTTATATACGGGATCTTGCAGTAACTTCTTCGACTTGATAGTGCATAGGGGAGCAGGAGCAACGTCTTTTCTAGCAGAGCTGTCCTTGATTTCTGCTGGAATTCAAAAATCATTAATCAATTAGCTTTCTATTGCTGAAGCTTATTTCTTTTTACACCTAATACGCATAGCATACGTAATAAAGATAACATCAACGGAAAAACGCACGTTCGCAGGCATTAACCTGAGTTTAAATTACGATTTGTGTGATCCATACGCCCAATTCTAAGCACCTATCAAAATCAACTATCTTTTATACAATTGAAACAAATAAGTTTGTTTAAACGATTAGAATGCCTTGTCAACATTCCTATTCTAATACAATCTAATAGGCTCGTTACATATTTCTGCGCATTTATATCCAAACTTCAATTACCGTAATATTAAGTACTTTACCAAATTCTTAACATACATGGGTAAACGGTATAATAATTTGAAGGCAACATAATTTGCAAAAATAATAGATGCATGGCTTACATTGCCAATTAAGTATTATATCTTCTCCGATCTTCAACCGATTCGGATCCTTTTTCCATGCTTCGGTTGCCACACGACTTAGTTCAGGGTCTCTAAAGTTATCAGTGGAAGAGTTTATGAAAAAATTTTGGAACTCCAACAAAATAAATAGAATTTTAGTTACTCAATCGTATTTCCTCCATAGCAATGTACGCAAGACACTAAGTTAATGACCAAGACAGCCAACCACATGTTGATGAAGCTAACACTGCAATGTTAACAGTTAATAAAGGACATATGGATGAATTCCATAGGCTAGATAAGTGGCCAATAGAAATTGTGCAATATTGCTTTCTGTTGGTGTTTCTAACCGTATTTAATTTCATTTTACTAACTGCATTTAAGTATGAGTCAAATGTATTCAGAGCTATGAATAAGTAAAGGGAGTAAGTTGTTCTGTTTATAGAATAAATTGTGGTTTTATTCCTGGCCTGAGTATTACATTAATAGTGTTCATGCTTTTATGCTGCGTAAAGAATTAAATATACTCCCTATTAATCACTAATAAAAAGAAATTAGAACACACTGCATTTTAACAGCGAATTTGAAATTTAAATAAGACTTAAGCATAGCTCTCTTAGAATGTGCATATTATTCATTCTAACTCCAAAAGCATATCAATGCGGCTGCAATGTGGGATAAATGTGCAACTTTGCTCTATTTTCAATAAACATCATTGAACTTCACAGCCTAATGATGGTAGACTGCTGGAATACAATTAAGTAGGAAGATTTTAGTGCTTCTGTTAATATATTATTGGTTTGGAATTTACTTAAAGTCTGGCTATGTCCTTGAAAGTCAATCGGAAGAAAGTGGTACCGCCAAAATGCCACAACTATTTAAAGGAATAAAAAACAGTTAAATACAATTCTGCATGATCTCCGAAGGTAAAATCCTTCAACTGTTCACTGAGTTTACTATACCGAAAATCAACCGCCTGCAATTCCACGATCTTTCCTACCTCCTTATTGAAACCATAATCAATAACTAAGAGTGACTTTAATAATAATATTGCCTACATATTGGATAAATATATGACCCCATATTCTTTTTAATTTTGGTAATATGAAAACATTTGACCATAATCTTTGGCAGTACAAATGCAGCTCATGAAGGTTTGAGAATTTGAACAGCTAATTCTCAGTGAACTCTATTTTAATAAAATTTTGATCCTAACTTCGCAATCTTTCTTTCTTACGCATTTACTCAACTATTCAATAGATAAAAAACGAGTAACCTGACTTCAAACCTCTCACATATTCCAGAAGAACTTATAAATTTAGACGTTCAGTAAAATATAAACTGCTATTGAATTAGAATGCTACACTGTAGTGACTAACCTGCGAGTATTAGAAATCGGATATTACCTTTATCATCACACAATGGCGGGTTCTTCGCTTGACGCCAGACCTACCGACTAACACTGATCAGTAAGAAGGGTTGAAAGTGTGTTCCGTCTAAACCAAGTGGCTTCAACTTTCGCACATTTTTACTTGTCACAGTAGCCTTGATTACGAATGTTGCAGGTAACGGCTACTTATTTTGTCGTGTTTTCTTTGGTTTGTAAATGTAAAGTGATTTGATGAGAATTCTGATGAGGTGATTATGTCATTCCGTAGAACACCATTCATTCATTCATTAACGTCATTACATTTAAAGGGTTGGCTTCAGACCCTTCCAATACTAATATTGCTTTTGAAAGCATAGTGAACCGAAATTTTTGTAGTCAAACATTATTTATTTATAAGTTGGTGCCATGAAAGCAGGTTTCGCCCACTTGCATAGCATATAAAGTGAGCAATCAAGTTTTAATCTAATAATTAATTGTAATGCGCGCATAATCTCAAGTGAGTCTCGTTGGCCATCGGCTCAATTAAAAATAGCAAATTTATTTGCTATCATGCATGACAGTTCTTGAGAATAATTACTATATTGGTGGTTAGTCGGCGAAAATTTCAGTTTGAGTAATTTTTCAAGAAAGTCAATTAAAAAGACTTGAAAGCGTATGAAATTTTAGATTCAAAAAAATACATTCCAGTTGTGTAGACTTTATAATAGTCTTTAATAGAAAGAAATCGTAAACAAGGAACACATTAAAATCATGAAAATAGATTGGTTTTAGAAAAATTTAAAAGTATTGCCAAGGAAAAATAGAACTATGACTAATTGCCACATATTTTCTTTCCTATTGTTACATGAAATAATATAACCCACCTCATACCGTTGAAAGTCTGAATTGAGCTGCAACAATTTCTCGTTACAGTTGCGAGAACTTGTGGCGTCCTAATTTCTGGCTGAAGATTGTAAACAGTGCTATAACAATCAAATGCGTGAAATTCGCGCTGAAAGTTCTAATCTTTGGCCACTGATATTTAACATGCTGGTAGACGCTTAGCCTATTACCACTTCAAAATTAGATGTCATGATTGAATTTCTATCTTAATTGGGTTGACGCTAAATGCTCATGAATAAAATTTAACTTTGGAGCTAGAATTATACAGGAGTCACATGAAGTCTAGAAATGTGCGTGAATTAAAGTTGTGAAAATTGCAACTCACCTGGAAAGTAGCAAAGAACAAATGAGCACCTGGCATACTCAACTGATTTAAGGCCATTCGAATGGTCGATAAAATAAACCTGAAATTACTACCTAACTAAATTATCATATGGAATTAGATTTCGATCGTGATGCTAATGAACCCTTGCTAGATCTCAGTTAATAAGTTTGCATTTCAAAATTTCCATGCGAAATAATAGCGACACTACAAATACTCAATTATGCAAAGGTCAATATTTGCTAGCGGTGAAATCGAGGGACGCAAAATTTGAGCAAGTTTGGAGATAATTATTGATAACAGAATTAGCTATTGAAACTGAAATTATAAAGGCAACGTTTGGAAGCATCTGCTGGAAATATGAAATATTTATTTAAATTTTAAAGTTAGTGAAGATTAGGAATCGTTAAACACTCTCAGTATGCCACAATTTTAATTAATTAATTAACCACCATTTTCATATTTACATTTTCATTTATTGACTGGACTATTCACATCTACTTACTAAAGAATTTTGAAGCAGTCTGTCCCAAATACTTTAAAGTAAAGTAACAAGTAAATGAACTGAGTATATCGGGTATTGTATTGTGGGACACGTTATCGCTTTGTGCGTCATCGCATGCCTGCACGCCAGGATTGGGAGGTGCAACTGTACATACAGTGACCAATCATTAACCTCTATTTGTTTAACCTAATCGCCATCCTGATCATGATTAAGCCCCCTACGTGTACACGTTATCCGCAATACCCCTACTGAATAAACGAGCTCCGTGCTACACGTCTGTTTCCTTTATAGCTGGGCTATGCGTACTCCGTGCTACACGTCTGTTTCCTTTATAGCTGGGCGCCCCGTGCTACACGTCTGTTTCCTTTATAGCTGGGCTATATGTTCTGGGAGTCTAGCTAGATGCTGGAGAATCTGCCAAAGAGATTTCTCAGTCGGTCAGGCTTTACTAGCGTAGCAATCCGCTACAGTATAATTATTTAAAGAGTTGGGAGAACCCACAGTAGGGCAGATTATACTCGTTCTTATTCAATAGACGCACTCATTATCAGAAGTAATAGCATGCTCGCATGCTTGCTTGAAAATTGATGGAATGGACTCATGCAGTAGGTAATACTTGATGCAACAAGATAAGAGAGAGAGAGGGATGAGAACAGTAAAGATTTTAAAATTAAACTGCATTGAGTTGGCAATCATATCAGAACGCCTGCCATTTGATATAAATAAACAAATAAATAAATAAAGGGCTGACATTCATTTGATTAATACAGAGATAGATACAAAACGCTACTTTGTGGATTGAAAGTTAGAGAAATGCAAGCAATTTTCTTAGACATTTAAGATTTGATTTTTGAAAACAAGGTATCTTTTATTTATTTTGAAAGGTTCAAATATTAGCCGAAAATATTATTATTATTATATCAAAAGGCAGGCGTCTTGATGGTTATCATTAGCCCTTTAGTTGACTTCAGGCTTCACAGAGGGAAGGAACATCAAATTGAAAAAAGTCGAGAGGGGAGGGAGGACAGAAGAGTGTTTCAAAGGTGTAAAAGAGGCAGACACAAAGGTAGTAAAAAGGTGAGGTGAGTACTATGGAAGTAGTCGAATATGACATATAGTGAGATGATGGTAGTTTGAAGTGAGAAGTCAACTGCCGATTAATAGACTTTTTTGCCGTATGAGCATACGTTGCCCAGGGTGCACCACGTGGAGGTAAATCTATCGCACACCCCATCCGTAAATATTAGAGCGTGACACTTTCAACAATTGTGTAGGGTTCTTATCAAAAGTTGTCCTTAATATTTCATTCTCTCATTTAGAAATAGCCTGTGGAGATACGATCTTGATTATCTCATTCGGAAAACAAAATTATAAATACCTTTTCGAAAATATTGACAAACCAGAATAAATTGCTTGATGAAATGACGTAAGAAGGCTATCTTTTGATTTGCTGTTGTTTCATTGGCATACTTTCATGGACGTACTTTCTATCCAAAGAATGGTGCTAAATAGTCCGATTCTCATTATTCCATTGTGTATTTATAGGAATTTATCTATTATGTACTCTATTAAAATAAATTACTTCCGTCTTAATCAAACTCATT